CTGGTTTTGTTGACGGCTCTCCTTAGACATCTCATCCCGCAGGTGGTTATCTTACGTTCCAGACTTTTGGTCAGGGTCCATGTCTGGCAGTGGTCGGTCAAGGTGGGGACGAAGATAGAGTTAATGAGCTTGGCTTTGGTCTCAATGGGGATGTTAGGATGTTTGAGGAGAGGGGCAAGCTGGTAGCTGACGCTGTTAGCATTTTGTACTCTCGTCTCAATTTCTCTGTACGTCTTCCGAAAAGATGCTACCAAGATACTTGAACTCGTTGACTTGTCTCAGCGGATTTCCGTCGATGGTGATGTTAAGGTTGCCAGGTGTTCTGCTGGCTTTCATCGTCTCTGTTTTGCATTTACTGATCTTCATGTTGAGCTTATCACATGTGTATTCATTCACCTGGGTGAAGTGAGGAAAATTCATGAAAAGTGCCTTTCCCAAGGACAGAACGTCGGGCCCGCGACTCGAACCCCAGAACCCGTAACCTCACGATTACGAGTCCGGTAGCCTAACCACAAGGCCACCGACGCCACAAAGCGGTTAACCAGTAGCAGAAAACCCGCCGCACTACGGCCGCCCGCTACTAAAACTAAATTCCGTGAATTTGTCTTTAGCTTTAAGAGTTAACTGTTCTTGCTTCTACCAAGTCTGGCCTCTGTATTAAATTGTCTGTGTGTGAGAGCACGTAGTTGACCTATACGTGGTCGGGAAAAGTGTGATGGTCCATTCAATAATGTTATGTGCAGGTTGGCGGGCGCTCTTGTGTGGTTTGATCCTTCTTTCCTATTTATATCCATCGTTCTTATCCCCCCTCCTTCTGTTTTGCGGGTGATTGGGTGGGTGGGTGGGTGGGGGGGGGGGGGGGGGGGGGGCGCCACTGGTACTGGTAGGTCCTATTTCTTTATTTTTCTTCTATTGTTTCTATCTGTCTTACCTTTCCCCAGCACGACAGGATTGTTATCGTGTCGACGTGCTTATCTTTACTCAAACTCAAACAAACAAAACAAAAACATTTCTGTTGTTGTGTTTGTTTCTTTGTGAACTGTGGGAAGACATGGAATAACACCAAGCCGCTAGCCCAGGATCTTGCTGACTGTTGGCGTCTGCTCTTTATAGTTGTTGTTGTTGTACGTGTTTTACGGCGCTCGCAACTGCATAAGGTCACATGAGCGCGCGGGACACATTAAACATTGATTTTTCAGTTGGTAGGAAATTTAGAAATTTGCCCTTGTGGTGGCCGAAGCTTACTCTGATCAAATTTGGACTACCAATGGGTCTTTAAAGTGCGTAACTTGCACACAGGACCTCTGAGATTTTTAGCCCTTGTTCGAGAAGACTAGGTGTAAACCTTTCGTACCATAAGATCAGGGATGTGGCAGAAAGACAGCAGTGAGAAGGAGCCAAGGAGAAGCAGTAGAAGGGCTGTAGAAAGAGTCAGGAGCTCAGAGGAGGGTGCAAAAGGGGTGAGAGGTTGGGGCAGAAGAAAGTGGACAAAAGAACCATTTTAAAGTGCAGGAAAGGAAGTGAAAGGAGAAAATTTTAGAGAAGAAAATTTTCCGTTGTTATCTGGATTCGAGCCCGGGATCTTTGAATGAGAGGCAAACACCTTAACCTCTAAGTCTAAGACCACGTGAGCCCCCATGCGGCTGCTCTGGTGTGGTCTGCTCCTTTTTTTCTATCTAACAGGATCTATCGTCCATTGTAGCTCTCCTCCATTTCTTTGTATATTATTCTCAACTAAAACCTTTAATCTTCGACATTTACAATTGCATTATAGACATAGACCTATTCTAGAAATTGTGAGGCAAGAGCAGCATTCATATCTTTAAAGTGGGTGGTTGGCGGGTACTCTGGTGTGGTTGACTCCTTCTTTCCCATCAAACATCTATTGTTATTATCTCTCCTTCTTCTTTTTTTGTGTTTTTTACTCTCGTGTAGACCTGCTCCATTACAGTATATTTGTACTGTTTTCGGGCCTGTCAGTTAAGGGATTTGATTAAACAGTGAGTGATGTCTTTTACCGCACAGCAACGAGTGTGTGTATATATTTATACATGTAGGCCTTATACATACATACATACAAACATACATACATACATACATACATACATACATACATACATACATACATACATACATATTGCCCTTTTTAACTCCCAGTGGAGCATAGGCCATCATCAACAACCTTTCTCCAGCGAAGCCTGTCCTGTGCATCCTTTTCTAGCTGTTCCCATGATGTCCCCGCCTTATCCATTTCCGCTTGTACCGCTCGCTTCCATGTCATCTTTGGTCTTCCTTTCTTACGTTTTCTTTGTAGATCCCAAAGCCTGTCTGATGATGCCTGTATACTACATGTATAATATTTTCTGAAAAGACAGTGTATGTGGTATAGCGGTTAGGCACTTCACTGTCACTTGCAGGGGACCCAAGTTCGATTCCCGAGAGAAGGAGTATTTTTAAAATCGAGAATCTGGGTCTTTCTGCTGGGATATTGTATCCCTCTCAGTCCGGGTTGGCCCTAACTTTGACTGGCAAGGCTGGAAGCTCGTCTCCGAAACGACCTTAAGAGCGTCGATGGGGGCGTAAAAAAACGTACCGTTACATAAAAATAAATAAAGAGACAAACACATGCCAATTATCTAAAAATGTACGACTATTGTCTTACTGGAGTGATCAATCACGACATTCTTGTGTAATGTATCTAATATATCAACAACATCTAAAGGCCAATGACAAGGAAGAACCTTTTCAATCTGCTTATAAAAGGCACCGCAGTGCGGAAACCGCTCTTTTAAAGGTATCATCAGATGTTTTAAGTGAAATCGATAATAAAAAAGTCTGTGTTTTGGTTCTGCCTGATTTGTCAGCACCACACCTAAATTTCTAATTTAATCGACCACGAAATTTTACTAGAGAGATTGGAAAAGTCATTTTTACTATCAGGTACTGTTCTAATGTGGTTTAAATCATATCTAGACAATAGATTTATGTCAGTGAAAAGTGGCAATGATGTGTCAGAAAGGTTACCTCTAAAATACGGAGTTCCTCAGGGTTCGGTCCTTGGTCCTGTCATCTTTACAATGTACACGCAAAGTCTGTCATCAATAATTTCTTTATATGCCCTCAATTACCATCTTTATGCAGACGATACACAGCTGTATGGATTCACTACAACTGACAATGTACACAATCTCATAGATAGAATCGCCAGATGTATCAATGATATAAGAAAATGGATGTTCTAGAACAAATTAAAATCAAATGAGGATAAGACTGAAATATTATTTCTTCGTAGCAGCGCATGCAATGAAATCGACAATATCAGAATAAACATCAATGGCCACGAAATATCAGCCCAAACTAAAATTAGAAATTTAGGTGTGGTGCTAGATCAAGATATGTCAATGAAATACCATGTATCCAATCTTTGTAAAAATCTATATCTCCAGCTGAAGAAAATAGGGAGCATTAGAAAATATCTATCTGTTGGTGTCACCAAAACTTTAATAACATCACTTATATTGTCAAGGATTGATTATTGCAATTCCTTACTGGCTGGTGTACCTGATGAACAGTTACAACAACTACAAAGAGTACAGAATATTGCTACCAAAATAATTACTAAAAAACTAAAGCATGATCATGTGACTCCTATTTTAAAAGCATTACACTGGCTCCCAGTGAAAGAGCGTATCATATATAAAATCTGTTTAACTTGCTACAAGTGCTTAAATGATTTATCACCGGACTATCTAAAACAGCTTTTAACACCCTATGTGCCTCCTAGAACGCGCAGATCATCAAGTGACAAAACAACCCTTGTTAAGCCTAAAATAAATTACAAATCATATGGCCAACGCTCTTTTTCATATTTTGCCCCACTTGTTTGGAATAGGCTTCCAAAAACCATCAGAGAAGAAGAAACTAAAATCATTTCTATTTTCATCATATTTCGATTAGACAGAATGCATCCAAGCTGTAGATCGTTGTGAGTTTGTATGTGCGTATGTGCATATGTACGTATGTGTGTATGTGAGTATGTATGTGTGTGTGGTGCGTGCGTGAGTGAATATGTGTTTGCATGAGTATGTAACACTATGTACCATTAAAATTGATTTGTAAATCCATAATATGTATCATGTTAAGCGCATAGAGCATTGCATAAGTGGATAAGCGCTATATAAATGCAATCCATTATTATTATTCATTTAATATATAACAGTAAATAGACAGTCTTCATAACTAGCTTCCTGTCAACACAAATAGCCATATATATATATATATATATATATATATATATATATATATATATATATATATATATATATATATATATATATATATAATAGATAATACTTGTGACTCATAACTTATGAATTCAACTGGTAACATGACATGGGTAACGATGTATTGTGCCTGCTCTGACGGTCGCATGTCCAAGACAATCACATAATAGGCTACAGACGACCATTTTCTTCCTGGCGGTTTTCTATATTACTATACTGGCACTGTCCAAAACGTCCACTGTCTATGACAATCATTTTTCCACTGATGATAGGTGGCCGTCTTGGACAATTTCCTTTGCACAATTTTGTGATATTATGTACTGGTACTAGCTGGGTCCCTTTTCCATGAAAGGAATGATCGGTGCACTAACATCAACTGAAAGTCATTGGCCTACTATATTTATACTGTACTGGAATGGTGCGATACATCTTGAGAGATGCAAAAAAATTACACAAGATCTAGATCTAGAATCTATACTCTGTGGTTGTACTCTCCAGAATTTCAAAAGTGTGGAAACAGTGCGCACGGCTAGTGAACGGAAACTTCACTGTCGTCTTAGAAGACGGACTTTCCTAAGATTAGATCTAAACGAAACTAATGAAAAACTGAAAATTAATATACAGCGACTTCAGGCTCCTCGTAAAACTGTGCACCTTTTAAATTATACTGAACCACCATTAATTTTGTCAAATTCGAAAGTTAAGTGGTTCGGCAGTTTTAGGCGGCCAAAGTGACGAACTTTCACAAATATAATATGTATAGATTATACTGACACTGTCCAAAACGCCCACTGTCTATGACAACCACTTTTCCCCTTGATGATAGCTAGGTAGCCGTCTAGGACAGTTTCGTTCGTATAATATTATTATGTATTCACAGTCTGATGTGTAGTGAGTTGTGGAGTAGTCAACTGGCTAGATGTAGGAGCGAAGTAACAGCTGGGTGAGGTGGAGACTACACAGGGGTGCCAGATTTGTCAGGTTGGAAAACTTGACTGGGTGTAGAAGATAGATGTCTGGAGAGTAATGTATCCACGGATTCAAGCGGTTTTGAAGCCATAGGTTCGTAGACGGAAGGATGATTATGTTTTCCCTGGACTGCATGCCCTGTAAAGTCATCGGAACGGCCAGCTCCAGCATGATGTTGTGCGCGGCGAAGTGTTTGAGGTAGAACGTCACTCGTGACGACAGGTGGCGGGGTATGAAGTACACATCGCTCAGCCCGTGAAGACAGCCGTTGTTCGGGCCTGTGTTGGTCTGCAGCTGAGAAAAGAACGCGCGTATATCAGGCTCGCCTGTAGCAGTAGCAGCAGTCTCGGATTTACTTCTGAGTGACGCCATCGCGTTCGTTAACTCTGTCTTACCCCCAGGGCGGTCCCACCAATACCAGTTCGTTCCGGTTTGACAACTGAAAATCGAGGGTTTAGTCATCCACAGTTTTTGTTTGTCTAAGTCTCGGAACTTCCAAGTGTTGAGTATGACGTCATCTCCGACTGCTAGATATCCCGTGACATTGTACGCCATCTGGATAGCGTTGATCGTGCAGCGATAACCTCGATGACCGTAAACGATCGGCGCTTCTATGAAGGACAGCTCTCGGCCGATATCTTTCGTGTCTCGGGCGAACTTTTCAGCCTGAACGCCGCAGTAGACAATGTTGGGGAAGAGGTTCCGATGCATGATCTCGATGTAGCGGACGTTTTCGTAAAACGGCCAGTTGAAGGTCACGATGAGAAGCACGTCGTGGAACGCGCTGGTTTTGTGCGAGTTGATGAGGTCAGTTCTCGTGGTGAATGCCGGGATCGCTGTGCATAGCGCGGCCACTTGAGATAGGTGCCGGCTCACTCTTCCTTCTCGGTCCTGTTGCCTCTCCGGTGAGGTGAGTACGGAAGGAGGTTCCTGCTCAACCGCCACGAAATAGACGTAGCTCCCACGTCTGGTTGTCACGGCCCACTTCAGATCTAGTTCTGACGGTTGGTTCTCCTCGGCTGCCTGGGTGTTATGACGTGGTATCGCACGGCTCATTTTCTTCACGATCTTCTGCTCCACTGGCGACAGTTGAGAAAACGCGCTGGTCACGTTAACTCGCGAGGGCTCGGGGTAGCCAGATTTTATCAAATCCTCCAGCCACAAACGAGTTATCTCCACATCTTCTTCGGCCCAGAAAGAATCTTTGGCCATGTCGGAGCTAAGTTTGTGCACACACTGGAAGAAACTCAGCTCGTGCGGGCACTTCCAGGAAGTTAGGAAATCCAGAAGGCGATCGGTGTCGAAGTACATGTCCTTTTCGTCTTCGGCGTCGGCCATGTACGAGTGAGAGTTCCTGGTCTGGTAGGCGTTCGGCGGGAAAAATCCGAGGTGACCGCCGATCTCCCAAAGCAGACGCTGCGCCCAGTAGCCTCGCCAGATGTCGCACATCCTGAATGTGGTGGTGGTGGGCAGAAGGAGCGCCCACATGGCGCTGTAGTGGAAGAGCGTGTTTTGAGAGTTGAACGGACTGAACACACCCTCTGGGAGGAAGACGGGTGGAGCTTTGGGGTCAAAGTGCACGTCCAGCGGGGTTGTCGTTCTTTTGCGGGTCAGTCGGAAGATGGCGTCCATGTCTGGGTCCCCATTGACCACGCCCTGCTGAATGAGAGGCGTGTCCCAGTCGTCGCTAAGCCTGGAAAAAAATCCGGTCAATACATGTAGATCTATCTCTTTAATTGTCTCTCTGTATAAATTGTTTTCACTTTCATGTCCCAGATTTTGTTGTTACGAGTAAGATTTCAGTCCCTTCCAAATTCAAAACATATTTCAGTTACTTGATGTCAAGCAAAAAGGATACGATAACCATATTGCGAAAAAAAAAAACCCTCGATAACAACAATAAAAAACTAGAAACACCTACTCCCCCCAACCCCCGCCCAGAGAAACAGCAGCGACAAAAACAAAACAAAACGAAATCGTCCCTAAAAACCCCACTCAATCTGAGCACCAACAACAACCAGAGAAAGCATTCGATTAACTGCTGGAAAAAAAAAAATCAATCTCCGACAATGCATTACCACCGCACATAGAGCTCTCAACTCACAATACTCCTAAATAGCATTATAACGCCACCACCACTACCACCGACACAACAATCTAATTATGTGTCTCGACGCGGTGGAATCAGGCGCTCATCAATTTTTGGACGTGTGGAGTCATTGGTATCATTTTAAAGGTTGTTCATTTGTCTTGCTTTTCGGGAAAAATACTCATATATAATAAATAGAAGTCGAGATGTTTGCGATTGAAGGAGGTAGGGGTCGTCTGGTTTCAGAGGTATTAAAAGCGAGCGAATGGCCGCCAAAGTTAAACGACTTCCAAAGCTTGAAAATCCTCAGAAAATGCAAATTCGCATTTTGTGCCTTAAATCAATATTTAAAAAAAAGTAAAATCCTCACAGAAATGTGTTTTTAAATGGACCTTAAAGGTGTTGGGTGAAAAAAACAAAAATTCGATAAAAATTGTCAAACAAACAACAACAAAAAAGCTTGTTTCATCGGTTTCATTATTTTGACGATCGCCTGATTTCACCACGACGCCTCACATATAATATCTGTCCCCGTGGTTTTATGAACCCCGCATAATTCCTGCAAAATTTGATCATTTTTTTGGCATAATTTATGATTATTTTCCTCTTTATCATTCTTTGTTAGAATTAACACAATCGCATAATTTCACATTTTTGAGCTCAGTTAGCATAATTTCAGAATATTTTTCTTGCATAAAACGACGGGGACAGCTCACATATTATGGTCACCTGTAGACAGCCTCCTGTGGGCTCCCGACGGTAGCCACCGGTATGCCCGAGGCCACAGAGTCAATTTTCTTTTGAATGAGGAATATTGCGTTCAAATTTGAAGACTAAAGCTTCAGTGTGGAGGAAAATATTTACGAAAAAAATTGTAAAGTTTTAGTTGGATCACCCTGTATATGATTAACTGAAAAAAAGTCAATCTCCGACAATGTCTTACTCCAGACAGAGCGGCGCTCAACTCAGAATAATCATAAATATTCCTATAATAATACATGTAACTCAGCTCGGGGGAACGAACCTGGAGAAGAGTCACGGAAATGGATGTACAGAAAAGTGGGAAGACGTGGAATGACATCAAGGGACTAGCCCAGGATAGGGAAAGGTGGAGAGTGTTCGTGGCCTATAACCTGATCCAGGGTGAGAAAGGCAATGATGATGATGAATACATGTAACACCACCACCACCAACACCACCACAACAAGATCATAGTCACCTGTAGACAGCCTCCTGTGGGCTCCCGACGGCCGCTAAGGGGAATCCCCGAGGCCACAGAGTGGACTGTCCGAAGTGTTTGTACGGGTTGAACAGACTGAGGCCGGCGTAGGTCAGTCCACTGGATGTTTGGTTCAGGTAGAAACTCTGCAGCATGTCCACAGGCCTGTGGATGTGTGTGTGTGTGTGTGTGTGTGTGTGTGTGTGTGTGTGTGTGTGTGTGTGGGGGGGGGGGGGAGGGTGTTGAGAGCACACGAGTAAAGTTGTTTTTAGTCTATTTTTAGTATAAGAGAGTAAGCGTTTTACGGCACTTGCAACACAAATAGTAATCTCTATATATTATATTTGTGAAAGTTTGTCACTTCAGTCGCCCAAAACTTCCCAACCACTAAACTTTCGAATTTGAAAAAAATTAATGGTGGTTCAGAATCATATAAAGGGTGCCTTGAGGAGCCTGAAGACACTGTAGTTTAAATTTCAGTTTTTCGTTAGTTTCGTTTAGATCTAATCTTGGGAAAGTCCGTCTTCTAAGACGCCATTGTAAACAAGTAAGGCTTCCGTTTACAGGCAGTGCACACTGTTCCACAATGACTTGACGATCGATTCTTTCGAGTCAGTTCATCGAACGGGTACCCAGCTAGTATAAGTGACAAAGATTGAGTAACAACAAAGATTGTACATAACAAGATGGGCCACTCAGCCAAAAAAGTGTCCGCAGGAAGTATGCTCTTTGCTTCAGATGGCGCTGCAGTCTGTTTTGAAGCTCTCTTTCGTTTTTCCAGAAGAAGAATAGGAATAGCACCTCCTTGCGTGCACACATCGACTGCTGTTCATCAGCAGTTCGGGTTCGTTCAATACGGAGTTTTAGTTTTTAAAAATTTTAATGACCTCTCGCCTTTCATTCTAAAGTCAAATTAAACGAAGAAAACAATCACCCTTTCCTCCGGAAGAGGTTTTTTGTCAGCGTAACCATTAAAAAAAAGCGTTCTTCCGAAATTCATTCAAAAACTTGCTAGTTTCACTTTGATTTTTTAAACTCAAGTAGGATAACTCTGTTCGCTAAAGGTGCGCTTTTGCGAAGAGGGCGCCACCGAATTTTGAGGACACTTTTTTAATTGGCCCAAAGAGAGAAGTGGCCCCTCTTGTTATGTAGACTCTTTGGTAACAAACACAAGAAGGAGGAGAAAGAAGGACGCTTGGTATATGATAGGAAAGAAGGAGCAAACCACACCATGGAGTGTTAAGAGCACATGAGTAAAGTCCTTGTTTTTAATTTAGTATTAGTAAGAGAGTTAGCGGTTTACGGCACTTGCAACACAATAACGTCATTTTAAGTGCCGAAAATTAAAGGTATTACTAGAAAGTAACATACAAAGAAAAGGAGGAGAGGTAGGAAAGAAGGAGCAAAGTACACTTGAGGTTTGTAAGCCATATTGTACGGACTGTAAGTTAATGGTGTTTTACGGCTCTTGCAATATCAATAGGTCATAATGATAAGTGCCAAATTTAGGGGTGTTGCAAGCAAGAGAGTAAAAAGCACAAAAAGAAGGAGGGGAGAAGGGCGATAAATCAGATCATGTTTGATAGGAAAGAAGAAGCAAACCACGCCAGAGGCCCATGGGGTGTTAAGAGCACACGTGTAAAGTTCTTGTTTTTAGTTTAGTTTTAGTAAGAGTTTTATGTCACTTGCAACACAAGTAGGTCATAAATATTACATGTATAAGTGTCAAAGATTAGGGGGGTTGTAAGATAATAATAATAATAATAACAATAATAATAATAATAATAATAATAATCATCATCATCATCATCATCATCATCATCATCATCAT